CCAGCTTATGTCTCTCCCTTGATCTAATATGTATTAGAGGAAGATCTCTTTTGCCTCTGGGGCGTAACTCTGTCATTCCAGCTGTCCTATTCAATCGCATTGTAGTACTTTTAGTCTGCTTGGAATTAATACACATTTCTATACTGCTGGATTAGTGCAGTTCAGTTCAGGATTGTCCCTTTCTTTCAGGTGAGTGCCTGATTTTTCTTCTTTTTTTCATTTGCTTCACTTTTATGTACAGTCCACAAACAGACCCAAAATAATCCAGCCTATATTCATGAAAGATGCAGGATGTGTAGCAGACAGATCCAAAATACAGACCCACTGATGACTCGTGGTGTTCTATTTAGTTCGACTTTGGTATCCAAAGTGTTGGAAGACATTTGAGGAGATGTTTATTTGCTTTTAAAGATTTCTAGTTCATATATTTTTTTGGGTTGGAGAGTTCTCATTTCCTGTCATGTTGGAAGAGAACAAGATCTCTTTCAATGTGCTCCTCTGACAGTATCTGTGTATTTGTATGTGAGAGAGATTCTCAACTTGTGGTTAAGTCAATAGGAGAAGGGTATTTGCTGTGGCACACTGCCCAGACAACTTGGAGATAGAAAACACGGTACGCATGAACACAAATCTCATGCATCACTCCCTCATACAGGTAGCATGTACATGCAAAAGAAGAAGCTGATGACACTGTAAGACACATACCAGCTGCACTACATAAACAAAACTGTTCCAGTGCTTAACTCTTGCCAACAGAGGAGCATTAGGACAGTCTGCAAACCTCCCAGGAAATACAAGCTGCTCCAAACTTTTTCAGTTCGGATTCGATTGTCAAGAAGAGGGACAGGTCAGCATTCCAGCACGGCACAGTCACACACGAAGACAAGAATGTTCATGACGACAACCAAACACACAAACAAACACATTGGTGTTATTGTGGGGAATGTCAAGGATCCCATTTATTTCTGAACATCTAATGCACACATGTGAACAAACACACACAAACAGATACATTATGAGACGCGCAGACACATTCACACTTACATAACGTAGAAGCAGGGCCATTCAAACTGTGGTTGACCACCAGAAGTCCCAACGACTCCAAGTTAAATGTTTTATGAAATATACGGACATGGCACAGGAGATGATTTGATGAACCTGACAAGTCAAAACCCCATTAACCCAGAAACTCTGACGTAATTCTACCTAAAACACTAAAAGTTGAAGGACATGAGAGAAGAGAAACCGCAGTTACAGTTAATGGTTTTTTTAGTTATTTTTTTCTTTTCATTGCACGGTCTGTATCACCGTCTTCAACATTTCACAGCACAAGCTTCAAATACAAACTGGCAGTTTTTGGAGTGAAGTGGAAACCAAGAATGTGTTGCTGAAATAAATATTTCATGAAGTATGAAATGCGAAAAAGGCAATATTTGTGTGCCGAGTATGTGCGCGTGAGAGTGTACAGTGCTATGGGTCATTATGATAATTTCAGGCTGCGGCAAAGTTATTATTTTCTGCTGAAGTGCAGATTCAGACACACACTGGAAGACCAGCATGAGATGTAATATGAAGGCATCTTTTTTCATTACATTCTCAATATGAATAGGAATGCACATGTTCAGCCATGAAGGAAGGTTGAGTGTAAAAACCCAGTAATTTTCTTCAGCCTGTCTGCATCCACAGGAAAACCCAAATGCAATCAACCCAAAACTAAGATCCAATGGCTTTTCTATTTCTGTCAACACATATAAGCAAATATTCATTTCTGTGTCAATCTTGTGACCAAATATAGATATCTCTGACAACTGTGAACACACACACACACACACACACACACACACACACAGACTGACTGACTAGCAGAAGCTACAGCTTTACCTCAGAATCCAGCTGCTTCTTCTACAATATACTTCCTTCTTAGCCACGCTAGCAGCGTGGCGATGTTCTGTTGGTTCAATGCTTTGTTTCATAATGAAATATCTGGATGGAACCTTTGGATTGATTGTATGAATATGTGGTTCAGACATTCATGGTCCCCAGTGGTAACATCCTAATGTCTTTGGGGACTTCAGTTGATGACAGGATACCAATTAAACTGAGAATTATTGTCGATTGATTTGTTGATTCAGCTGCTTTGAGATTACCGCTAAAATAGCAACAGTCTTCCTGTAAATATGATCACATGCTCACCCAAAAAAAAATCATCAGAATCAGTGTTCAAATGCACAACATTACCTTCTGCACATTTAGATTTACCTGACAAGGACCTCTCGTGGCCATGTGAAATATTAGTTTGTCTGATGTGAGCAACAGCAGATGTAGCATGACATCACACTGCTGTAAAACTTTGGAAGGAGGCGGTCGGGGATGGATGGGTCAAAAAAGTGTGTGGTTTTGGCATGTGACTCCACACATTCGGTTTCCTACCAACAGACAACAAGAGTTTCCAGCACGAACTCATTCCCAGGGCGTCAAATATCAACGGCCTTCTCTGATACAGAGATATGAGACGCACCAGGCTTTCAAGTAACTCCGATGTAAAACTCACCTGCGGCAATATTAGACGCTCAGAACAACTGCATCCAGAAGTCAGGTGTAGTGTAAAGAGCGATAAAGTCTGCATGCGGAGGATGTCGGGGTGGATGGGTGGTTCAAACAAACATGGGACTTTCACCCAGTAAACCACTGTTTGTGTATTGTGTCAAACCAAACGTATACTTTAACTTGTTTATATTATGTAAGTACATTATGTATAGTACTTAATTTACAGCATATAACTGAAGTTACATTACAAAAGTATCTCAGCCTAACCACGATCTTTTAGCTTTAGCAAGTCGATTTGTTGTCTAAACCTATAAGTGACGCCAAGGGGCACCCAGTGTGTTGAGAAGTGTGGGAAAAGGTCCTGATAGCATCTGTATATGACGAGTTGGTGGTTTCTTTTTTACAAAACCAACTCAAGTCGATCATCTTTGACAACCATGGAGACGAGGTGGTGATAGCTCATATTAAACATTTTCATGACAGTCATTTGATTCATTTTTTGAAGTTACTGGAGACAGATGTCGTTGATATGAGCATCAGATCAGAAATCATTCATATTGGTCTTTTTGGAAGGAAATGACAAACATATTTTGTTATTTTGTTCTTAAGACTTGTAGCCCCACTAGTGGTATGAATCTATGGTTACTGTTTATTAATATAAATCCAGTAGTTTAGTTTTCTTCTATTGAATGAGCATTACACCCTCATATGCTAGATATTTTTAGTTCCTCTTCCTACACATTATGCACATATAATGAACACTGATAATGAGCTCTATCTGCTGAATCTGTTCCTTAAGCTTAGGTTTATGTGATGTAGTGAGTGTGTGCTCTATATATGTGTGTATGACTGAAAGCCTTGAGGAGAAAATTCACAGGAGAATGCAGAATGGGGAATACATGCATGCACACATGGATACAAAAACATGTAAATGTGAGAATAAATACACACACACCCAAAGGAATCTCTGCCAACGTGTGATTAGATACGCATCTTTTCATGCAATCTGGAGTGAGCAGCAGGATCCTGGCAAGTAATATTAGTTCTGCATAATCATTTTGTTAAAGATCTTCCATCTTATTTTGGATTCTGTTTCCATTCATAAGAGTTGGATGCTTCCGTGTCGCTGTGGATATATTTGTGTGCATTTGAGCGTCCCTGCCAGAAATGTGATCTACGCATACCTCGGGGAATGTGTATTCTGGTGACAGAGAAAGTGGCTAATTTGAGCACATGTTGTCATGATGTCAAACAAGTAAAAGAAAATAACAGTTTTACCCCAAAAATAGCCTCATCAAAGTGATTTCACTCCCCGTCTGTTCTCCCAAGTCCTTTTTATCTAATCAAAAACATTTTCCCGTTATTGGGAGCATCAAGAGCACAAAAACGTGAGCTTTTATCTTGGTTGCCACATTCTTTTTAGTTATATTTGTGAATTTTAAGTCAACCCCGTAAAACATTCAAACCAAGTAAGACCTTGAACTGCTCGTGAACTGGAAGAATTTGCTATTCTTCAAAGGGAAAAAGTGGCAATATAGAACACCCGAGTGGCCTCTGATGAATGTTTAATATGAGCACTTTCTAATGGTGCATTAAACATATGGGCTACAGTATGAGTCACCGCAGCATGACCACTTTGCACCAAAGGGCGTTTGCTGCAGTGAACTAATGGATGGCTGCACAGCATTGATCAAATGCAAATTGATCATTTTTAAATAAATGTAATCTTCCCTGCATGCTGGCAGTAACAAGTGATTAATGCTTAAAAGTAAATTCACTGCAATATTTCCTTGGGATTCACATTGTCACTTTATCTCATGGAAATTAGTATAGCACTTCTGTATTATTCTTATAGAGCTGTAATAGCAACATAGAGTTTTTGATTCTACTCCAACAAAGGATAGCATTATTGTCACGATCAGGCTTTGTCTTTTCTGCCTTTTCCTGCCGGATTTTCCCCCTTGTCTTTTGTCTTGTCCCTGGATTCCCTGTTTGTTTTTGGTTATCATTAAAACCTTTTTCACTACACCTGACTGTCTGCGTTTGAGTCCTCACCATGCCCCGTGACAATTATAATAAAGCGCCACATTAATGGACGTTACATTCAGCTCTTGCCTTTGAGTGATTAAACGTGAGTTCTTTTTGTCCTTGTACTGGTTGCAAATAGAAATGGAAACCAAGGCACTTTATCTGCATTATTGATAGTCAATCAAAGTATTGATAGCCAACAGAAAGAAACACTAGCCTAAATAATCTGTGAACACTTGGAAAATCACTCATTTGCGTTCTGAAAGCCTGAACCCAGAGACTGAATCTCGGAGCAAAGTATTTTCGGTTTGTGCATTAATAAAAAAGCTTATGCAATTAGCATACCCCCCCTTCTCCATCCCGCGATAACACTCGCGGGCTGCGCGCCCAGTCACGCACATACGCGCGCTCGTGCCTCCAGTCTTCCTGCCAAAGCCCGTAGTCGCGTTGTCCCACACAGCACGAGCAAACGGTTGTCGTTTTCAGCACGGGACTGATCCTGCACCCTCTTACTGCAATATGGCGACAGAGGTATGAAAACAAGCTCTTCCACTGCCTTTCTCTTTCAGGAATGTATAAACAAAGCCGACAGATTATTCTGTACCTCCGTTTGTTATTTTTCCTTTTTCTAAATGCAGGTTGAGAAACGCAGTCTTGTAAACTGAATGTCTTGCTTGTTGTGCCTCTAATTCATGTGTTTTATTGTGATGAATGTTGAATCTTAATTCAATCAAATCGGCCGACTGGACCTGGCTTATTGCGAATTTGAAGTGGTATAGCAGAGAGTAATCCCGTTATCTTCACGTGTGGAAATATTTTTCATCCAGGAGCTTCAATTTCACTTACTTTCATCTGACTTTATGAGCTCTGTAACTACAGGCAGATATCCTCAGAGTTTATTTTTCTTTTGTACCACACAAAGTGCTTTTTTAAAATGCATTTTCTAGTAAGAAACAAAATCGATGTCATTAATGTGGAGAATATCCAGTACAGGCGCAAAGCCTTGAAGCCTGACGAGAGTGATGATGATGGTGATGATGGAGCAGTCAGCACCATGGACAGGGAAAGTCTCTCCCTCTGTCGTTCCCTCTGTCATACTTTTAAATTAGCTTGACAAGGCTTTGTCCTTGTGTTTTAAATGAGCCCCATAGTGAATCAGCACTCAATACTCGGCTCTCTTCATGCCTGTATTAAATGCAATCAACATGATTGGCAACTTACAGCATAAGCAGAAGATGCACCAGAAGAGAATTCCATGACAGGAGTGGTCTTGTTTAGGCAGTGTCACATAGTCAAACTAGTTACTCCAAACAGCACCAAGAGTGTTTGCTGGTGTATTTTTAGCCTCAGTAATGCCTGGTAGCTCTCAGGCCAGCACTTTTCCTCCCCCTCTGTGTCCTTGGTGATGTCACCATAATGCTGGAGACATAGCTGCCTTAGTTATCATAATTTTAATCTCACTAGAGAAGACAGCCATTACTTTGCAAGTTGGAGCCACCTTACACTCGTGCAAGCAATATGTGCAGGCATGAGTGTAAGTTTGTGTGTTCATATGTATTTGGATACATCTGAAAGCATCCAATTTATAAGAGGGGGTGAATTTGAAGTTCAAGATTAATGCTGCTGCAGGTAAAGGTGCAGAGGACGGTAAAATGGGCATGATTTATGATTGTGTTTTTTTTTTGTTTTTTTTTCTGAGCCTGCAAGACATCGACAGAGTGACCCTGATCTCCTTTGGTGGTGTGCCAGCATCCCTGTCCAAGCTCCATCAATTACACACATACACGTGCACAAAAATGCATGTGCGTGCAGCCAGGGCAGGTTTTATGTCCATGGTCCATCAATTATCTATGGAATATTAACTGTAAAGAGGCTGCTGCAGCAGCTGAGCAGCACAGTTTACTTCCTCTCCTTGATTTATCCACCTCCACCGCCTCTCTCTCTCTTTCTCTGTCTCATATCATATTAGAACTATGACATTTATTGTATTCCAAGTCAGAAAATGAATACGCTAAGCGACTGAGTAACACTCAGCTAATACTGCAGACCAGACTGTTTGTGCTGCATGGACGATCTCTGGATCCATTAAGTCCACTACTGCCAGATCCTCCTCTCAGTCTGTATGCTAGCCCTGGCTCCAGTGTTGCACTGTTGACGAATAATGTGTCGAAGCACAGCAATCATCTCAGGGGCTGGAACAGGCTCAGCTCTCCACTGGAACAATGCTCCACCTTTATCCAAAAGAGATATCCTCTTCCAGCTTTGGCCTCACAGACACTGATCCTCCACGTAGATGTCATGGAAATTTGACTGTTTTGTCAACACTGTCTAAACTTCAATGATTTATAGACCTCTGGCTAGCCCAGCTTGGCAGCGACTATGAAAAATGTTACTCCCAATGGCAGAAAACTAGTTATGAAGAGATGAAAAGCGAAGACTGAAAGTAAGAAAAATGCTGAAAGGGCTGTGAAGCTCTGAGTGTATTTACTGCGCATGCTGTAATTGTGTGTGTGCCCGTTGCATCGTCTGCCCACTGGCAGCACTCACCCGTGCTGGGTGTGCTCCTTGAGTCGGAGTGACTACTCAAGAAACATGTCATGGTAATGAAAGAAACAGACCCACAGATCCAAGCTGGAGGAAATGCGTAATGGGAGGATATCAGAGTAGGAATGACACAGAAAATATGTAAAAAATGGGAATCTTTTTATTTATTTGTTGGTCATGAGAGGTCATTGATACATCATGTGTCATGTTTTACTTCTGGTATTAATTGAAGTAGGGTAGTTTGGTTCTTCACCTTTTATTTGTCTGGTCAGCCAGTGACTATTCGGATAATGTTCTGTACTTTTCTGTTTTGTTTCTATATTTTGTTTGCTTAATGTAATATGTTTTAATAAGCCTCTTAACTGGTGATAACGTTCCCTCTTTAACTCATTTTCACTGTGTTCTATCAATGTGCAAACAAAAATCGAACATAAAGTAAACCCTGTGTGAGTGGAAGCAGAAGTCAGACAGTGCCGCATGAGGCAGAGCAGACATTTTAACATCACCGTCTGCTTGTGTACTATATTTAGACACAGTAATAGACTGGATTTGAACCCCGATCACCCACGCAGGAAAGTAAACATCAGCGCTCTGCCAGCAGAAAACATTTATCTTAAAGGCTAAAATGGACACAGACAAGACCGCTCTGCCACTAACATCAACACCACGTGACAAACGAAATATTTGATGAAGTCCTCTATTATCAAAGCAGAAAGAGCACTTTGGCAGTTGTAAATAACTTGTTAGAGGGTACAAGCTCAGTCTGTAAGATGTGTCAGTTTTGACCTTTAACCACAACGTCCCCATTCGATCAATCAGTTTAAACTCTGGACCAAAAGTCCACTGAAATCAGGGGAGTGGACATCCTCAGGGATCGCATGTTTGGACAAATAACTCGACTCAGTGTTTGGCTGCCACAGAGACACATGACTCCTGCTTGCTTTGCTCAGCTGTGAGCTACATGTAGCACAGAGATGCAAGACAGAGGTCAGGAGGTCAACAACAAGCCAAAACACACCGCGATGTCCCACTGGCCTGAATGCAGTGCATGTGACACTCCGATACCTCTGAACTGGACTATAGCAACGAAAGCACCGGCATCCTTTCTTGTTATCTTTCATTATCTCGTTCTTCCATTACTTTTTTACATTTTTCTTTCCTCTACCTTTCATTGCATTGTCCTTATTTATGTCCTTATCTATCATACTTATCACCACTTTCCTTCATTGGTTACTTCCATATATCCTCCCCTCCATTTTCCCTTCTTTTTTATTTATTTAACCAACCTGAAAGCATGTAAATACACACAACTTGATTAAAATCGGGCAGCAAACTCAACTCTTAATTCAGATACTTGAGTATTTTTGACTGCTAATACTGTATGTATTAGAAGTATATTTGTTTAACCTACTCAAGTACAGTTTGAATGCAGGACCTCTACTTTTGAAAGAATATTGTTCCCTGTCGTATTGCTTGCACACATACTTTCATGTATATAATGTATACACACATGCATACAGTCACCTACACACATTGTCACAGTGACGAACAAAGAACCTTTATAATCTTAATGAATCTAACTCTCGGCCAACTGACTCTCGGATAAATGTTTCTCGATCGTGATAATTCCTTCTATTAATAGAGTGACTTGTTGTTCATCGTGATGGCACAAAGATAGCCGGGGAGGGGCAGTGTTAAAGAGACGGAGAAGGCAAAAAGAAGGATATTAAAAGCTCTGGCAGGCAGAACGATCTAGTGGCTGTGAGGTGATTTTAGCTTTTGGCTGACAAAAATAGCAGCTTGGATGCTATTCTTGGTTGTGAGTGATATTCCCTGTATAGAGATGAAAGGCAGCCACTGTACTCTGCCTTCTTACTTGGAAATGACTCTCTCGGGCTCATACATGCAGAGACTCTGCTTGCTTTCAATTAGAACACTGCAGAAGCTAGCCAAACTATCCATGAAATTATGTTTAGTGAATAAAATAAGGTTGAACACGAGAAATATGTCGTTTTCATTTCATGGCTCTCAAATGATAGTGGTAATGGTAAATGATAGCTCTCAAATGATAGTGTGCCTCTCTTTCTGTTTCTCACTATATTTTCTCTCTCCCTCCCTTTACACTCCTACTGTATCTCTAATTGCCATCCTCTTGAGGGGAGCAATTTAGATCAGCAGGGGGCAAGTTACACTGGCCCACTTGCATGCTGCTGTAGTCTACTCAGGGGACTAACTGTTTAGGTGTAAACCACACCACTCACAAGAACACCAAAGTGCTGTAAAGGGGTGTCTTTCAAAGTGTTCATTATTACTGGGCTTATTGATGCTGGAGGGATGCAGTGAGAGCGCTAACTACGCCTGCACTGCTGTTGATTCTCTAACAGAGTACCATTCTCTCACCGTGTAGCCCTGTTGAACCTGTGTTGCCAGTTAAAAATACAACTCAGATCGAGCCGGTAATATTTGATAACTTATAGTAAAATGGTTTCGGGTCAGACTGGAATTTTCCGTAAGGAAATTTGTATCTGTTGTGGAGCACTAGATCTACGAAACACTAAATCAAAGAGACCTGCTACTCTATGAAGTCATGCATATGAATGTATGTTGGACCACATATTTAACGTGTGCTTTTCCTCTGTTGTGTAACTGCTCAGTTTCACAACCTTCAGGAGCTGAGGCACAGTGCATCGCTGGTCACAAAGGTGTTTGTACAGAGAGACTACAGCGAAGGAACCATCTGCCGCTTCCAGACCAAGTTCCCCTCAGACCTGGACAACAGGGTGAGCACAAATACAAACACACACACTCACATATACACATCCAGGCAAATGTGATATGTTGACAAAATCCCAACTCACCTGACACCAACACAGGACGAGTGATGGCTCAATATAGGTAACACGATTGCTACAATGGTGCTCCCTGGATGAAAGAACACATGTGAATGATGGATGTGGACTTGTGCATTAAGTTACTTGTAGGTAAATTCACTCTGTCTTTCCTCTCCATACGCAAATGGATACAAACTTTTGTGGCATGACCTCTCATATCCTGCAGTTGTATCGCAGAATAAGTAAGCATTACAACTTTATTAAAAGTCTTCTGTAAGTGCTCAGAAGCAATAAATAATGAGCCCTAGAGCTTTTATTTCCTCTCTACTACTTTGGGAACTGCGAGAGAATTCACTCTGTATTTGCTTTCTGTATTAGCATCTGCAAATTATCATTGCAGATGTGTCTAGCAATCAGCATTTGAAGCAGGCAGTCCCCACACACAGAGCCAGAAAGAAACATGAACACAAAGAGAAACACAGAGAACCATTAATACACATTTTGAACATAAATATTCTCTGTCAGATGCTCAAACCACTACCCATTGCTGTCACGCGTATGAGTCATTTTCCATTTTAGCCTCAAGTTTCTTCTTCAAGAGCGAGAGGTGTGTTAATAAATGGTTTGACAAAGTAGGAGTACTTTGGGTTGAGCAGAATGCAGCTGGTATGTTTGGCGGGCTGTTTTATAGCTGAACAGCTTGCTCCCACAGTTATGCCAGAACACTTTTCACTCTCGCGCTCCTTATGGTCTGTGCATGCCTCCATATCTTTACCTGGATCTTTGTTTGTGTTTGTAAGTAGATTGAGCGAACCTTGCTCGAGGAGACAGTGAAGACGCTGAACTCTTACTATGTGGAGGCCGAAAGAATTGGAGGTCAGTCGTACCTGGAAGGATGTCTGGCTTGTGCAACAGCTTATATTGTCTTCCTCTGCATGGAGACGCGCTATGAGAAGGTAAACAACAAAATGGTGATTTTTTTGTTTTTTTTGTGTTTTTGTATGGTTACTCAGTGTTTTCTTCTTTACGACAAAAATTATATAGAAAACTTAGTCATCATTTTAGAGGCCACAGTCTTATTACTCAGTCTGTTAAGACAACTTTGACACTATATGATTTACAGAGCAAGCCTGATGAAGCCTTAAGGGGAAAAAACAATGTTTCCACGGTAGACTTGTGATGTATAGAAAAAAGATACTAAATATCAATTAATCCTTTTTCTGACCCGCGTATCCTGTCGAGGGTTGCAGGGGGCTATAGAGTCTATCCTAGCTCGTATTGGGCGAGAGGCAGAGAAGACCCTGGACATGTCGCTAGTCTTTCACAGAACTAATAAATAAAGACAAACAAGCATTCACACCCACAGACACAATTTACCAATCCTTCCATATCCTGGACATTTCCATGTGAGGGCAAACCGGAACACCAAGAAACGCACGCAGGCTTTGGGAGAACACACAAACTCCACACAGAAAGGCTCGACAAATATTTAAATGATTTTAATATTGAAATATTAAAGATATCAAGGTAATTTAATGGATCTGGATCCTCTTAGCGTGCGTCGTTGTAGGGATATTTCAGCTCAACCACTATTCATGAACTGTACAGCTGGTTATTATACACTCCACTGCCCATCCTCAATTTATTGTCCATTTTTATGGAAGCCTGCTCTCTCTAGAACCCATAAACATTAAATTGTGTGTTCTAATGCACTATGGCTCTCTGAGGTCAGAACACATAGTTATTTACACCCACTGACACAAGTAGCACAGCCAAAAGAACAGAAGATAAGATCTGATTCTCTCTTGCACAATTTTCGACTCAGCTGTGCGTCCACTAGCTTTTACAACCAGATATTAAGCCCACACCTGCGTGCCGGTGAGCAAGGCATAGCACGCAAACTGTAACATGAATTTACCTTCAGCAAAACCAAGGTGTCCATCTTGAGAAAGGGCAGGTGATTAAACCTCTGTGTGGCTGTGTTGCAGCTTGTCACTACCTGAGATGGAACAAGAGCATGCACATCGCAATCACATACAGTGAGTTTGATTAATCCTCTTGTGACTGTGTGGGTACCTGCCAGAGTTTTTGAAACTAGCGTGGCATGAAGTCCCAGCATGCCTCTATGTTCTGATCTCTGTCACCCACAGCATTCATCTCCCTAGTCTTGTTGCGTTTTGAAAGCTTTTTTTTTTCTAATCAAAGCAGTACAGGGGTACTGCCAGGGAGCTTGACCGAGAAGCACAAAAGGACTTGCTGCTGTGTTGAAGCCATGCACAAACGGCCCGGTCTGGGGCTCCTTTCATCTCCCTGTCAGCTGGGTGCTGCTCCATTGAGTCGCTCAGATGCTATCAACCCCACAGGAGGGTTGTTTATTTACTTGTTTAACTTGATCATCTTGGCTGGATGATGACGAACGGTGATCAAATGTACCCACCCAAGTTGATGCTGTTTGTGTAGGTACGTGTGTGTGTGTGTGTGCTGATAAAGAGGCCACACACCAGTAAGCCTGGATCAGTGAGCAGATTCACTGGAGCTCCCAATGCTTACATCTCACCCTATCAAAGGACACTGATTGCGCCCAGCAAGTCAAAACAGATACATGTGCGCACAAGCATTTATAAAACTTCCCTCACGCATACTATGTGCCCTCCATCTCCTATTTTTTTGTTCTTCTATTATTCACAAGAATGTGCCTGCACATATGGGACTCACTCAGACACATGTATACACACATAATTCCCTTTATATTGCACTTGGTGACGTAAACAACTTTCATTGTAGCAGAGGAATAAACACTGGTTGGCATGTGTGTGAAACAGACTGTGACACCTTTGCTTCTTAGGCGATATACACACACTCACATAGCTTTTTCCTGAAGGGCTGTCACAGACATGCCAGTACAGCAGCGGCACAGCTTGTATACTTGACTGTCATATTGTTGCACTGAAGAGGATTGAGCTGCCCTGAGAGCTCGCTCGCAGTGAAAGGATTGGCCTTTTCCTTGGACCACAATGACCCCATTAGTCAGCCCTCTGTGTGTCTCTTATTCTTCTCTTTGATGGAGTTTATAACAAAAGACACCGTTTGTATTGTGTTTGTGGAGATACAGTCATTGTTCCAAGACGAATATTGATTGCTTTCTGCTTAGGTACACTTGACATAGATCTGACTGATATAAAGCAGGTCAATGGAGCGAACCACCGCCTTTTGATGGCTTCTTATGGCTTTTCACTGAGGGATTGTTGAGGTCTTGTTTGCTCCCCGATTGTAACAGCATCCAGACATTTTATTGGAAAAGGCTCTTCTCCTTCCTCTTCTTCCAGTGGGAGGAAGAGGTATTCATCTGTGGTTTAGTCTCCACTAGCAGGGGTCACTATATTAGCAGCTGTGCCTGCAGCTGTAACAGGCCTTTGACATCCCAGAGGAGCGCTGCTCAGTGTGTTGTTCAGTCTCTATTGTTTTAATCTCTCAAGGCTGAGTGCTGCACTGACCTTTAGTTAACTTACAAAAGGGGAAGTGAATCTGTCATGTTTAATAAATCAGATGCAAAGGTGTTACATCTCAATACAGCAAACTTCAAAGGATAATTGTAGCTTGAAACTTGGATCTTATCTTTGTAGTTATAACAATTAATTGATAAAAATAAGTCTGGCACAAGTGGTCAGACAATCAGTCAGGTTTAAAAAAAAAGCCAGACTCTCAGATGTAGCTATGGCTAAATATTTGCTTTGTTTCTAGCTGAACTGGACTCGCCATACTCCCATACCTCAACAATTAACGAATGTGCTAAAGCTACAAAAATAAGACCAATGTTGTCCCCCCCACCCCTTTTAATACACAGTAGAATATACAGTATGTAATGCTGTGATTCTTTTTTTTTAATTCTTTAAGTGATACAAATGTGTGTTGTTTTAGTACAGACAGACTAAAGATTGCGCCTCCTTTTTGGAGTGGTGACAGCTCCCTCTGTGTACATGAGGCCCAGTGAAGCGTGGTTTAGCTGATTGACATGGTTAGGCAGAGGCATGGCACATCAGCATTGTCGATGTCCACAGAAGCATAGCTGAGGCTGAATAAACTGCTCAAATGATGACGCTTTAGTTAATATCTATCCATTTAGCATCAGCAGCATCAGTCAGCAGTCATTTGGTTGCCATCAGCAGCACCATGGGACGACATCACGGTGCTTAAACACGCTTCTAGTTTTCAGGGCAAACTGGAGTGCATTTGTAATGCGTGGGAGAACGTATACAGGCATGCTTGTTTGAATTTGTGTGCCAAGGCATTGCCTGAATTCAATGCTGAGCTTCACTCCATCGCTGCTTTGTGGTTTTTAGCACATTTGATGCAATACTCACTTGCAAAGCTGAGAAATAACTCCAGTGCCAATGCAATCCAAATAAACTGTCCACCTCAAATTTTAGATTGTTTCCAAATTGCCCCGACAGTTAACCAAGGCATGACATTTAGCCTGAGAGAGCCATCTTTGGAATAAGGAACTAAAGCCTCCAAATGGAAAACTCCAGAAAGAGAAAAGCCCATGCTCGTCAATTTTAGTAATTCAATGCATACAGCCTTGCTTGACATGAGTGGATTGGAACTATGTATAAAAATAACTGTCGTACTTAGAGCATAATGGAATTACTTTGAGTTTAGATTATAATGTTCAGGAAAAATAAAGATGGGCAATGACTCGAGAGAGTCAGTATCAAATGACGTATATGCTTACTATGCACAGAAGAATTTCAAACTCATTTCTTCCATTTTTCATTTTTTCCACCCAAGACAACAGAAGAGGAGGTTAAGTTGCTGTAGCCCTTGTTTAGCCTATTTTAGGTTATTACATGTAATGCAAAGTGCACTTTGTAAAGCAATATGAAGTTAATAGATCCCCAGTTGGAATGTCTTTTCAGATTATTTTCTGCTAGATCACATGTTCTGCTTGTGTTTTTAGGTTTTCATTATGCCTCCAATGGTTTTTATCAAATCTGGATTATCTCCAAATGTACCTCTGTACTTTTCTAACCCCTCCCGGCCCCCCTGTTTTACTCCAGGTGCTGAAGAAGATATCAGGCTACATCCAGGAGCAGAATGAGAAGATCTACACTCCGAGAGGTCTGCTGCTCACAGACCCCGTAGAGAGAGGAATGAGGGTTGTATCCTTAACTCATCTGCTGCTATAAGTGTGTAAGAAATAGATAAAGGATAAAGGATAGTTAGGCATATAAAATACTGAGAGGAGGTGGCCGTAGTTTAGAGGATGCAGAAACCAGGCTTCACCAGTCAGAATCACTGGAACTTTTAGAAACATCTGGCTGAATAAATGACTACAACCTCTTCCTCATGTATTACCATCAAGATACCCTTGAATCAGGCACTTAAACTCCAGCTGCTGCAGAGGAGCTGTTCAATGGCCAACTGTCATTCCCAGAAGGAATTCTGAAGCAGGACAAGGCAGGAAAATACATGCATGATCCGTAAAAAAGAAACAGGGTGATATAATATATCAGCAGATGAAGGTGTGTATGCACTTGTTTGCAAAGGCCTTGTTCTGTTTTTTTTTCATTCCAAAATAAGGTGCTCTGTCACAGTCTAGCCAGAAGAGGCCAGATATATGTCTCTCCTTGTCCGTCGGAGTGATCCCAGCACAGTTCCTCATGTAGTTAAAAGGCAGAGGGAGAGAGAGAATGTGTCCAGTAGACCATCACACAGATCTGGCGCAAAGAACAAGCTCCAAGCAAAAAGAAGATGCAATTGTATTCGGAGCACCTCGGAGACAAGACTGAGACAGGGGATGAGCGGAAACCTGTGATGCAGAGGGAGGAAACAGCAGCAGCGGCAGCAGACGCAGTGACTTCTTGTGTGTTTTTGTTTTATTTTGCTCATTCATGCCAGTCACTGATCTCTCCAAGTAGGAAAATCTCATGAGTACATCTCATCCGAGATCAGTTGTTTAGGCTGCGCACACCTCAGATTAACATGACAACACTCTGGGATGAAAAATGAAATGTGAGCAGTACAGAAACTGGTTGGTTTGAAAGTCTTGCAGTCTTTGAAAGTCTAGCTTTAAGCCTATAAGTGAGCAGAGGGTTTGGATATGACAGGATCCAGACTGTTGTCAGGGATTGTGGAATTGTATCTGCCAGCACTTTCTTAACCCTGTGTCTTAATATTCTCTCTGTCATGATGATCCTTGACATTCTCCGTGTCCTCAGCTGGAGATCAGTGTGTTTGAAGACCGGGGCTCAGGCAGCTCCAGTCCCAGCAGCAGCATGTCGTCGGCAGGCAGCGGCGCTCGGTGACTGGAGGGGCAGCGCCAGGCTTACGGGTACAACCACAGGGGCAGCGGGACGCTTACCAACATCCGCATGCTGAAACATGAGAGCACCAGGTTCTAAGACAAGTGGACGGCAAAAAGGCAAGGAGGTGATCCACAGCATTCACACTCTCCCTGCTGCGGCTTACGACGTACCACCTCGAGAACAGGAGCTGGCTTACACAAACACACTGGATAACAGAATAAGCAACAGAACCCACACATAGACAGCAGTCACATGTAAAAGCCAGAGTGTCTGTGAGGGAATATATTTCACTCTCCAACAGCTATCCAAACCAAAATAATCACGATTTATTTTGTTCCTACTTTTCTGTTCACCTTGTCTCTCACTCCATCAAGTCTGTTGTTTCCATGAGTCACAGCATTTCCGTCCTATGGCTGATTCATTAGGCTTACCTTTGTTTTCAGGGCAGTCACTGTCACTATGTCTATCTGCTGACGCATTGGCAGGCTATAGTCTTGAAGGAGGAAGACACCCAGCCTCCTGGGAGACCCAATGTTCTCAGGTCTTGCTGAATGATTGCATTTATGTCAGGCGGTTGGGGTAAAGCCGCTTTGAATGCTGGCAAATTGGGCCCGCTGTGGGACCGCTCAGTTCTATGCTCTGTTCACATGCATTTGGCTTCAATATCAAACAGCTAACAGAGAGCACCTTGGATGATTTATCCTTCTCATTCACAGCACTGGATATTAGTGATCCACATCACAGCTGTAGGTCACACTCCTACACACACACACACACAAATGTACAGAACCGTGCCAAGTATACAGACATTCACATACAGACACTAGCAACACTATGCACACACATGCATATATATACACACACCAGTGGCTAGTGGCCATGTATTCCTGCACACAGATTCTGGCAGACGTGGAGTTGGAGTCGACCTAGCCAAACAATATTCTCTGTGGTCTCAGCTCATTGGGAATGCAAGCAAACATGTACATGTATCCAGTGTGTTGTGAATGTGTCTGTGCCATCAATCCCTGTCTTTCCTAGTGTGAGATGAGAGCTTGCTAATCATTAAGGGAGACATCAAAAAGCATGTGTCAGTGTCCAAAATGAGAACTGAACACACTGACACATTTGGTTTCGGGGAAAGAAAATTGTGTGTGTTGTTATCTCTTCAGCTGTTTAATGAATGTTACCAGTATGACTGTTAAAGACTGGTGTGTGTAGGAGAATACCTCAATTAGACATCAAGAAATAGACATCTAGAACATAGTTTTTATTTGACATGCACACAATAGGATTGGGAAATACAGGAAGATGTTGCAGAAGAAGATTTTATATTTCAAATGTCTCTATCATCAATGTCTCTCATCATCCTCATTTGTCAGTTTTGTATCATCAGAAATTTAAGGGGTGACTTTTCATGACATTTTGTCAGTGAAACACAGTTGTAGCTCCCTCTAGGGTCAGACTGAGGAAGTTCTGAACATCTGAAAGTAAAATCATTAGAAATGCTGAATGTAAAGACAAAGATAACAGACTAATATCATTTCTAGCTCCTTAGTGAAACCTTATATTCATCTAAAACTACTTATTCACATTATCGCACTGCCCTGCAGGTTCCTTTCTAGTACGATGTCTTGAGTAAACTCTCAAGACAATGCAGCCTGAGGAGCATAAATTCTGTCTCTCTTTGTGTTAAAAACAGTGCATCCTGTCTGGCTTCTGTGTGTGTGGAGGCACAGGACACAAAAGATGATCGTTATGTTGGAAAAATGTAGAAGCCAGTCGACAGCACTCACACACATACACACACACACACACACACACACAAAACGTCTAACCAAAGACGGGAACTGAAAAGCTAAATCCCTGTTTTAGTGTCTGCATTTTTTTTTTCTGTTCCCACAGTTTCTGTCTCCTTCTTTATTTTTCCAAATTCAGTTTTGTTTTCTTTCAACTCGCGTCATAACATGATCTCTAAATCAACTCTGGGAGTGTAGCCCTTTGCCTCTTCTTTAGCCACAGTTAGCGTTGCGCCAAACCCTCAGCAGAGCCTCTGCCTTGCAACTAGCCATAGTTTAATTTCAACTCGAGTTTTTAGTTCCTGGATGTTAGAGAGGAACTGACAAAGACCACAGCAGTTGAGTTTAGTTGTGCTTGTGTTCAGCCTCCTGTTCTTTTTGATGCCTTCATGTTTCATCCCAGTGGAAATGGATACCCAACCTGGAGCTGATGGACTGACCAGTTATAATAAACTGACTCAACACTGCCAATTAGCGGATAAAGGAGCTCATTGGACAATGTATAAAGAAAAAGAAACAATGAGTGTGTACAGGTGAAGAATTGCACTGTACATGCTTGTCAATTACTCATGCTGAGATTGTGAAGTGTAAAGAAGAAGATGGAAATGCCATAATGCTATTTAATTTCAAATCGTCACTGTTGCCCAATTTTATTCCCTAAATACATTTTTAATGTTTTGATATCCTCTATATTTTGGGCATCATGTGACAGAGCAGCTAAAGCATATCGTCTGTACAGCTGTGAGTTGCTGTTTATCTTCTGTAAAATGAAGATAATGTTTAATTCTGTCCTAAATAATGGTGATAATGTAGCTTATGATATTGTCAGTAATCAGAACAATGTCAGTTGTTATTGTGGAGGTAAACAGAGGGGTGATGATGATGATGCTCAGGGGGAAAGTTTGGAATGTGCCAAATCCAAAGGTTAAAGGTCTTAAGGGATACGTTCACATTTTTACCCAAGCTAACGGCTCGAATGTTGGCACAGTTGGTGTGAACTCCAAATATACATTGAAAGAGGAGGTACAATAACAGAAGGAATGTTTACAACGAATAACTCTTTCAAAGGCTCTTTAAATGAATATATGGGTGTGTGAGTAGTTTACTGTCGATGAACTAAAAACAAATCTGAATCTATCGTTCACGGCCAAGGTGAAAAAGAAGCACTGTGTGACAAGTTATTAGGCGTTATGTAGCTTGTTCTTTTAAGAACGACTTCTTTGATTAATGATGACAACCAAGGGAGTGAAGATTAAGACATAAAATGTATTCTTGTAAAAAAAGATGTGAATTGAGATATTTGTGTACTATCACAGAGAAGATTAAACGTTGGGTCCTTGAGCCTCTATCATGCTGACTGTTAAGATAACCTCTGTGCCAACAGTTTAGAGGAGAGGCGGACACATAAAACTTGTTGGCCAACTGATGATGTATAGTCCATTTCTGTATGTAAATTCCCACATTTCCTATATTTATCTTGTACTGTATTTGAGAGTGCAGCAAGTCCGTTCAGACTTGTGGAGTCATCAGTACTGTATGTATGTTATGCTGTTGTAAGTGAGGGATCATGCACAGTGCAATATGATGTCTTCCTAAAAATGTAAATGATGATGTTGCTTTAAGTCCTTGGGGAGACAAAAGCTGCATTGATGTTAGATGCTGCATGATGTGTCTGTAAACAAAGCGAGTGCCAGATGACAAGAAGTGAAATCCCTAATCAACAAAGTCCCTCGGTTGTGCTGCTAAGAGAGAGGAATTTATATCTTATCTTGATGCTATTTATGTGTTTACATCAGATAATTCATATATTATTGAATTGGATTTATGTATTTTTGTTTTCTCAAAGCTGATTATTATTCAGAGGCTGTGGAGAGGAGTTTCACTTGCCTCCAAGAGATGAATAAAGTGTAATGAAGTTGGTGGAAAGAGAATTATTGTGACTGCCGGCGGCTGTTGGTATCTAACAATGTTCATCTCATAGTGTTTAGAAACTCGCTCAATGCTGTGTCTCTGCTCTGAGTTCATGTGAGGCAACGCTACGTCTCTCTCTCTCTCTCTCTCTCTCTCTCTCTCTCTCTCTCTCTCTCT